TCGTCCAACCGATAGATAAGTATTTTAAGTATGCACAAATTGTTTTTCTTAAGCATTCATAACTTGTTTGAATTGAAGCAGAGCATATTTTTCGGGGAAAACAAATCTAGTATGTGCGTATACAGAATACGATAAATGTAACAAGTTCTGAGAAAAGTAGTTTCGAAGTAGCAACACATTTTTGTGCACGAAAAAAATTCAATGTAAGTAAACTCAAGTTGTACTAATATGTTGCCCTTATCTCAAAACTAGTTATTTACAATACAAAACTCACTCGAAACTATTAAGTAAGATCTCACTCGAAGCCGAAAGTGAATGGTAAACTCATATAGTACACTTCTTGATAAGAAAAACAGGCAATCCAACATTTCTTACTACCAACTTGGAGAGTAAAATAATGTTAATATACTAAGAAAGGCTTATATACTCTTCCCCCTTTTTATTTGCTTATATAATTACTTTAATGGAAACATTAATTACTGAACGGAGACAACAAATATGTTCAGTTCCGAACATCCTCATTTTTAATACTGTAATATTATTGCAGGTGCTCAAATGCTGAAAAACAAGGCTGCCTGAGATAGTTATAGCACGGATTCTTTCCTTAGTACAAGTTTCATTCTTTTTTGTTTCTGTGTTTTTATAGCACAGCAAATAGTGCTTTTGGAAAACATTCTCTTCACTACTGCCCCGTAAATTCGGCGACAATAAACGGAAAGAACTTTCACCGCACATTTTACATACTTTATCATATTGCGCGCTTACGCAAAAAACTAATGCAAATTCCAAAGAAAATTTTCCGGCACAGTCTGAATAAAACACTATAGCGTTATGATACGGTTTTCTCTTTTTGGAGAAGGAAACTAGCAGGAACCTATAACACTAAAAAACATTGAACTACAAGTCGGATTTTAATCTTTAATATGAATGGAAGGTTGTAACTAATAAAAAATTAAACTCCTTGCATGACATTTTCAGAGAGAATAAATGCGTTAGCGATGATTTTAACGAAATTTCAAATTATAATTCAGAACAAGCATGAGCTAAATGATTTGCTGATATCCATATTTATAAAGAACCTTACATGAAAAAATGAAGAAAGAAAGAAAAACATAACGAACACTGGTCGTACGTATTGATTTTAATCTCATTGATTTTAATATTCACTTCTTACTTAATTTGAGTTTGTGACTTGAGCGTGAAAGAACGCCTGCGTTCAGTGGTGTAGTAATGAAGTCGTAAGCGCCCGTCGCAGACAAAGCGGAAGAGAGAGAAGAGCAAGTGAGCGTAAGGACCCCGTCGCCGATTCGCGCGCGAAAGGGGGCCTCACATGTGCCCGACAATACCAGCCGGGCCACGCAGGCCAACTATTTTTAACTCCATTCCGCGCCGCCGGCAAAAGTTGGACGCACGCCCCTCTCATAACACGGCCCCGCCTTCTCGCCTCCATCCCCGCGCCGCGCAACCGCGGCTCAACTTATCGGCCCTGGGCGCGTTGAAAAGGGCGCGAAATGGAGCGAGGGAGCAGCGGAGGCGGTGGTGTTGGTGTTGGGGGGGGGGGGTGCAGGAGGCTGGCAGAGGCCGTGGCCGCTCTAGGGGCCGGCGCCCGGTGAGCAGGAAGCCGCGAGCAAATAGACCGGAAATGTTTCATAATGCCAGATCAGAAGGCGAGGAAGCCTGCGGTATTGGGGAAGTCGGGAAGCGAAAAAAAAACGAAAAGGAAATGACGGCGAGAAAACCATGGTTAAGGAAAGAAGCGACGTTGCAGAATCGGAATCGGAAGGATGCTAGGTTACTTACATTGACCTATGCGAGTACGAGAAGAATAGCTTGTTCCAATTACACTATGCATTCGAGTGCGGTCTTTCATATTTTTAGACATCTATTGACAGTTCAATTATAAACACTTCCATAAACGTGCAATGTGGCCACACGAACACAGTCAGAATATATTGACAAAATAACCGCTAAGTTGAGTTACCACTACCATGATACGTTAACAAAATCATTGTTTTTCCTTCGATAAGGGGAGATATATTTTTCAGACTTCAAAGTAATGAACACATTTTGTATTATAATGCATCATCTTGTTTGTACGTAATTACTTTTAGTAATTCTTTCCTCAAACTGCATATGTGAATTTCATTTTTTTTTAAATTGCAGATACTACAAAAAATTGGTTGGCCATAAGCACATCATTTCGAGAGACATGCTTGCTAAAGATTTTTCATTTCTATTTTAAAATGCATTCGAAGAAGAACAACACTGTACGAACGAAAAAAAACAACAACTGTAAATGAGAAGTCTAAAGAAGAACAGAAGTCAAGAAATGTCATCTTACTATGAACGTTGACGCGGACCTACTGAATTTTACTACGCACTTAGGTAATGTTATAACCTGTCGCTTTTCGTATCAGGACAGAGCAGATCGTTCGCTTTCGAAGACACGCAAGTTTTACAGTACCAACGTTAAAATTCTACAGAACTGTCTCTTGTTTTCTTTTTAGCTAAACTTGGCGGCGTTCAACGTCTCGAGAGGCTCCATGAAAAATCCTCTTAACTAAAATTTATTATTCTCTGGACACATTCTCCAGAGCCCAGCACAGGAGTTGCAAAGAACCGTCCGCACGACCGCGAAGTTTCGCAATAAGGGCCGCGGCGTGCACCATGGCACTCTACTGCGCCGTCACAAACTTGCGCCGAGCACTGACTTTCGACCCAGAATGGAGCAAAACGTTAACGTACCTAAAGAAGATCGGTTTGGCTACACCATGACCTTTCAGAAACGCGATAATTTCGTAAACGATGGTATTCAAATTTAAAATTTAGTAGGGGAAATGCCAATTATTTTTATGCTGAACTAAGAGAAATCGATTAGTGCGAGAGAAATATATAAGACAGAGACATCGTCGCAACCAGGGAAGTGCAAAAAACTGCCCTTGAGAAAACGCATTTAACATCACTATTATGTTAAAAGACGAAAGTCTCAAGTGGAGACCTGCAATAATTACATAAAATAACGCCTACTCTCCTCCTGAAAATCCTTATTTTTCAGACATAATCGATTCTAAAATGCGTCTTTCTAAAAAAGATACCCTTCTCCTTTTGTGATTTTGGTGTGGTGCCGATGACGTCTGTTCAACGAATTGACGATTTTATACAGAATCTTAACATAATAACAACAATAATTGGTTCTCTATCTATGCCTTTCCTTTAGACTAGAGAATAGTTATTCGCTTCAACCAGAACACATGTCTTACTTGGAAGAAAAAAGTTCATAGTTTCTCCAGATCGGCACAAATTCATAAAATATAAGGAATAAAGATAAGAAACGTACAATAATACGAATCAACGAGAAAAATTATTCCAGTATCTTTGTTGTCAATAAAACTAATGTAATTATGAAAATACACAAGGACTTCCAAACTAGCGAGTCACATATACACCCTGCATTAAATGCTAAATATAATATTTTTGTTTTTTATTTTATTTAATAATGTTAACTCGGTTTCAGAAATCATATTAATCTTTATCTTGCATTCACTTGGGAAATGATTCAGGCAACTACTCTCCTGTGAGGATTTCGTACAATGATTTCATCTCTTACAACTCCTTGCATCAAAAATGAGTTCAGAACCACTAATAGCAGGTACAGTCCTAGAAATCAAAGATCATGGAATGGTAACAGAGCGAAATCGCCAAAAAACGGGCTGCGAAGGTTGGTTAAATGGGCAAAATAAGCCCTGAGGATACAATGGAACGAACGCACCGCCCCGCGAGAGAGGGGACGCACTGCGGCTGGCCATTGTCTCGGGATTTGTCGGAGGGTGTGTGGGGGAGGGAGAAGCTGGGGAGTCGGTGGAAAAATGGAGCCGATCGGGCGCAACTGTGAGTTACGGCGCGCGACGCTGGGAGCGCGCAGTGGTCGTCGGAAATGGAAACAGATTCCCCGCGCACTGCGGAAGCGCAAATCCCCCTCTGCGCTAGCGTCCCGCGGGAGAGAGGAGCGAGGGAGGGACACAGGGAGCCCTGCGGTGCCTCGCGGGTGGATCCTCGGGTGAAAGGAGGACCTCTGGAAACATAGAAACAGGGCCGACGCTAATTCCGCCCGAGCGCCCAGGCGCTCTACCTCACGTGGAAGCAGGGGGTTTACCTCTGCCATTGTTTTCTAATCACGTTGCAATTTTAACGCAACAATGGCAGCGTATTCTCTCAATTGTTAAAAGAAATTTCTGGGAATGATACAATTTAGAGGCTTAAAGACCTCGGTAATCTGCACACTTTTGAACTTATGGCACTCATGGTATGGGCAATAAAAGATATGCTTGCGCACTTCACGTCCACACTAAGCGTAGAGGTGAATGGTATTTCGAACCACAAGTTTTGTGATTCGAAATGCCATTCACAACTAAATGAACTCTGCAAAGCACAGATTTTCTTTTATTAGTTTACTAAGAATAAATCGCTTTTGTAAAGTCATTTTTTTTACTCCAGAAAGAAGAGTTCCAGCAATGTCCAAAAATATTATCATATTTATTATTACTTTACGGTAATAATAGCTGAGTTTAGTATCAACGAAATACAATAATGTCTCCTCGGAAATAACGAATACCATGAATGTTAATACTTTCATATAATCAATAATCGCTTGAGCGCGATCTTACGTGCACAAAGGAAACACTGGCTTTCAAACGCCGCCTTCTTTGTGATGCTTCCCCGTGAGGTGGAGGTGCCCGGCACCTCGAAGCACTCGACTCCAACAGCACCCATATCGAGCGACGCAGCGGCCGCCAACCCACGACGCCAGAAGAAGACACTCGGCGAGAGCCACCGCAGCCGACGAAGACAATAGAACGGGGGAAGGAAGCAAGCCGCGGCCGAACGAAGAGAGAGAGATATCAGAGATCGACAGGTGATAGCGAGGAGGGGCGAAATAGAGAGACAGAATGTGTGGAAGAGAAGAGAAAGAAAGAGAAGCAGGCGTGGCGACGAACACTTACCTTTACAGGCGGTGGAGGGCCGGCCTCCAGGGGCGGACGATACCGGGCGGGGCGCGCCGCCGCCGTCCGCGCCGGGCGCGGGCGCCGCTCCCGCTGCAACACGACAAGCGCACCGTCAAAACAAAAGCCCACGCGTCCAACACTGCGCTACATATTTCCTGTTGGTTGTCACGAAAACATGGCATGGGTCAGGATTCTTTCGATAAATCAATATTTCATGTTATCTATCATTGTTTGAGTAAAATTTTGAGTTTAGTAGTTAGATTCAGTTTTGTAGTAAAATTTACTTCCCAACTTACAGTATCCTAACTTACTGTTCTGTAACATTTTAGATCTTCAAGGCAGAAATGAGAGAATTCGAAATTTGCCAACTACTTAATCCAAGAAATCGATTCATACTTTCAACCCAGATACCAATTTCATAATCTCCATTCAGAAAAAATGAAATAAAACGAACATTGTAGAGAATTTGGAAATATTAAAGCATTAAAAAAATTTAATTGAATGGGTCTTAATGAACAATCACAAGCAAAATGCAGCTCCATAATAAAACAATTAATTAACGAGCTTACGCACTCTTCCATTTCCCTCCTTAATTTTTCTCTACAGTTAGTCACATTATACTGTACAAGATACAAGATGGCGTCGAGTTAAGTCCCGCGTTTTTAACGCCTGACAATAGGGTATGTATCCTATTTCTATAAATTTTACATTGCTCATTTGAATTCCTGCGTTCATTAATCTCTACAATAATATATAGGTAATTATATTTGTTCACTTATTTCCATCTTCAGGGGGCCATTGAAGATGGGATAAATATTCTCAAAACACGCATGTGGCTGTTTATTATTAATATTAAATTTATATTGTAATATGCTTTCTGGTTGATACCTTCTCGATCCTTAATTAATAATAATTATGGATGACAATCCTAACTTCCTTTCACAATTTACATAACTTCTGCACAATTCAAATTTCCTTATCTAGCCTTCAATGACAAACTACTGTAATTCAACACTATTGGAATATCTAAGTACTACTAAATAAAAACAATACTTACAATCAATCAAAATCTAAATAATGCACATACTATCAGTCGATGACCAATCATCAGCTCCCTGACAATTTTCTTATCAATTCCATGCAATTCAAATGGAGCAGGAATGAGGGATGGGATTCATTCAGGTATGGTATTGGTCTGGGTTTCGTCTGAAACAGAAGAGGAAATTGATATTTCAAGGAAATGAACATGTGACATACCGCATGAAGTGTAACTTAAAGAAAAACGTAAAAGAGAAAATAAACCTCACCAAAAACTATTTACTGGTTAGGTTTTTGAAGAATCACAAAATGTAAAGCATTTCCCATCTACGAGTACAATATTATTCTCTTGAATAAAATTGCGCGTATTAAAATCAATCAACCAATTTAGGGCAAGTTCACAATGAAATTATTAACTTTAACAAAAATATATGTTTCTCAACGAAAGCATACTTCATATTGGCATAGCCGTTGGAAACAAATTAAAATTGGTAAAAAGTGAAAGATATCCGTTTAGTTTCTTCTAGCAATGTCATGTTTCATTTTCCTGCTCATTGGGCCTTCGCAAAACCCATTTTCTTCGCCCTTTTATCACGAGGTCTATAATCAGCAATCTCCTTCCGCAGACGCGATAAGAGACTTGCATTATCAAGTCAGAACGGTACGTGAAAGTCAACACATTAGCATGCGTGTATATTGGTTGAAATGTCACATAACTATGATGGGGAGAGGGAGGCGGCTTCAAAGAAAGGAGAGGCGGAAGGGCGCGGCAGAAGAGAGGTGCGCGGTGAAGGTCGATAGTCTTCGACGGGGCGCCGTGTCGAACCCGGGCCACCGGAGATTGGTAACTTCCGGCGGATATTAGCCGGAGGCTGCACAAACTGCGCGGGAGGCGGACGAGTGCGCCAAACGAAGGGGACGCCCCCCCCCCCGGATGGCGGCGGCTGGACCCCTGCAGGGCGCGTGACCCTGCTACGAGAAGAGACGAGCGAGATCTTGCATCGAGTTTTCCAAATGAACAAATGTAAAACTGGCTGACGATTGGAACACTGCCAGCTTTTTTTATGCACTAGTCCAAGTCAAAGAGCAATTTTACAGAGTCTCGTTTTCTGTACAATTAACTTCCGGTATATGTAAAATGTGCTCACACTAGCAAAAATTGGGCGCGAAGGAAAAATAGCATAAAAATGGTCACGGGAAAAGAAAACTTATTTTCATTTAACCATTCCAAACAGGAGCACCAGTTTCCATCCCTACTTATAAGAAAACGTATTCCTGGAATCCGTAGGCCCCGTGACGACAGCATCTACAATACCAGAGCAGTTTCTTTCCAAAGAAGGCTCCGCACTAAGTCTGCGTCCCCTAGCGCGACAGTTTTATCTTTCGATATTTTGTAACGTCGCATGCTCGGAGAAAAATGTATAAAAGCTACCGGGTGCGGCATGGCCCGGGAAGGAAAAAGGCTGTATATCTGTCACTTTCGTTTCTCGTATAAAAATTGACGTAGCTGAAAAAGGGACGAAAAAAGAATAACATGCGAAAGAAATAGCTTTTCTCAGATTACTTTTACGAACGTCAAGGAGAACTTTGAATGAACAATAGGGTAACAGTAACAGTCGTGGGCACCAGTAAAGTAATGGGCACAACAATTGAAAAGGGGGTAATAATAAGATTTTAAAAACTGCGAGAGGCCCTCTGCATGTAATCTCTGTGCCTTGTGTGTTTAAGTTTGCATCCCCGGAATATAAATTGAATGTGGACCCGCAGTAAGCATAGGTACACTTCAATAGTTAGTGATGTGCTCCACGTGACGTCTGCACATCGAAACGTTCTGGAATCGTTAGCAGAGGTGTGTCCAGATATTAAGGATTTAAGTCAATTTCGTCTGTTTTTATTCGCAATCCTCTCTATGCGTAGTGCAGTCACGTTTATAACCTATCTTTTCATATGTGTTTTCACTTTCTCAGAGCAGACTATAAGCAAAAAAAAAAGGTAGTGCCCATAACTGTAAATATTTCTGACGCGCAGGACAATGATGGGCATAAAGTGCCCATCACTGTAATTTGGGGAACTTATTTTTTGTGCATTGCTGTAAATTAATATTGAATTTTTGAACTTTGTTTACCTTGTTAACCGAAAATATACATTTAGAACTATTTTAAATAGTAATGGGCACTGTGCTTATCAGTAAAATTTGAACATGTCTATTGCTGTCTCAACGTTCTGGGGTTAAATGTTATCACTAGGGGACAGATTTTGGTCACCTAAAACTTCGACAAAAATTATCAGTAAAATACACTTAAAATGTTTTTAAAACCCTCTAAAAGCAAAGAAAACCGACATAAAAATTGATTAACACCATTTCAGATTATTAAATTGTACTGATAAATCTCAACGATTTTGAGGTATGAAGACGCTTTGAAGACAGAAGTTCTCACAGTAAACAATTAAATCGGATGTGTATGTTACTGATAACAGAATTTTAACAATCCTTGACAAGTTTTGTCATACCGTAAACAGCATTGCTCCAGATTCCGCTCCGTGGGCTGTGAGCGGCGTATTGAGAGAATGCTGGCCAAACAGTGAGTTGTGTGCCATGGTGCAGGTGGCGATTTCGACAATCGGGTCGACCTCCATCTCGAGAAGTTCACGAAGACTGTACAAATTGCGACTGAGCGGGGGCGGCGGAAGCGACGAGGCCACACGGACTCGCCCCTCCCCTCAAGGCAACTTCTCCCCAAACCGGGAACGCGATTTCGGCCGAGGATCCTGGTTGTAGGCGTGTGTCCCCCTAGCGCCCTTTCACGTGGTCGGCGGGCCCCTTAGCAGGCGGTGTTGGGGGCGGAGTTTTGCGGCCAGAGAAATAATGCCCTGCCCTAACGGACAGTCCAGGTGGATGGCCACACGAGTGCCCGAAAAGAAAAGTAGGGGCAAGAGGCGGTGCCCCCTGCTGGGAAGTGAAAGGTCTGGGAGAATGGGGAGTTCGCAGTTTCGAACACAGGATGGTGGAATAAATAACAAAGAATCCCGAAGAAGCTCGACTCTGCCTTCAACCATGCTTTGCGAACCGACAAAGGAATCCATTTCGTTCATAACGGGGCCTAGCAGAAAGAAGCTTATGAATTAGTCACTGTGCTATGTATGAGTTATATCCTCTGAACTCATCCGTATACAGGCGAAATTTCAGACAATTCTTTATAAAGGATAGACACACTTTTCTTCAAAAATATATGTGCAACTGTCAATCATAAAATATCTTCAAGCACACACGGTTCTTTGGCCAGAACTGAAATTCAGGATAAAAGAATGACCATAATTTGGGGAAATTTTCAAGCCATGTTTATTAAAGAAATTGAAAATTTTGGTTTTATATAAAGAGCCAACCAAAATCAAAATATCAGTTTCAAATTATATTTCCACATCAGACACATCAAGCGGTGAGTAAAAATTTTAGTGTAAGCCCAATGTATTGGTTTAGGCGCTTGTGTAGTTGAAGAACCGTCGGAAGCTCAGAAGTTTTGAAGAAAGAAAGAAAACAACTGCACACTATTTTTTAAATTTTAGGGACACCCAAATCGTTTGTTTACGTCAAAATCCCTCTTTTTAACTGACGTTTCTGTTCACTACTTGTAAAACAAGTAAACTTGAGATTTCGCAACCAGTGAAAGCCACATTAAACCCAGAAAAAAAGTTTGAACGGCAGTTTTAAAAATCTTTAAAATATATACAATCTTGTTTCTTTTGGATACTACGAATGTCTTTATGAGACATTCCACCGTTTCACCTTCATATCTACTGTAAACACCTAAGCAGTCCGGCGAAGGAGGCTCCAATCAGGAGCCAATTACGCAAGTGCCAGCAGGGCGTGCAAAAATCGCACACCGCACTCCGATCCCCTCCCCCCTCCGAGCACCGCGGCCGCCGAGTGCGTCACGGGAAGCGCCCCAAGGCGAACGTAATTAATTGCCGAAGGCCGAGCGAAGCCCTCCGCCGCGCGCCCGCGTCCCCGCCCCCGTCAGCCCAATTTCCCGCGAGGGAGGCACGGGCGGCGTCGAAGGGGGAGGGGGCAAGGAGGGACGAAATGAGAATGATTCCCAGGAAGAAGAGAGTACTCTGCAGTTGATGGCGAATGTCGACTTCACGCTGAGTGGCAACACTTCCGTTCAACAGGAAAGCATTTATCAGATAGAAGAGAACTACAGATCTCTTCTCAGATCTTATTATATAATTTAAAAAAATGACGCTGTTTAAAAACATGTTAAGTATTTCTATTCCGCAAATGAAAGAAAAATAAAAACAAATTATTCTCTCTTGAAAGGGACATCGAATGAAAAGGGTAGGGGACAAGATTCATTGTACACTGAAAAATTCAGTGAACAATAGCTGAGCACAGAGATAAGTTCACAAAAGAGGGGTTTACCATGTTGAGCACGACAAAACCTATCGTCACCACAACGTACATGAAAAAGCCAGAGTCGCGTGGCAATTCCCTTTTAGCAATTTCACAGTTTCCGCCTCTTCCATTTCTCAATGCCCATTTACTATATCTCAAATGTCCACTTCCAAGCAGAAAAACTGATCATTTGATTGGATATTATAATTCGACTTAAGCATGTAAGTGAGTAATATTCTTGTTTAATACAATCAATAACCGCTCACAAAAGTGGAATCCAGAAGGACATTTCAAATTGTCAGTACAAAGGTAATGTCACGGTGACTTACAAGTGTCAATCACGTATTTCTTATGATCAGACCCTTTGTAGTGAGGAATAAAGTGATAATTAAACATACGTCACCTACGATCAAAAACATTATCTGTCAAAGCTACTCCCATATTGTCTGTGAATACTTTTCTATGAAAATAATACTTTCTTTTTTGAATAAGCGGGTAGTTTGCGGAGACTAGCATTTGAAAAGTCATGTATATTGTACATATCGCAAACAAGTTGAATGGTATCTTCCTAAAGGAGCATTTATGAGCATACCGACTATTCAGCTTAATTCAAAACACTAATAATGCCGAATTAACATATCAAATTATCATTACAAATAAAAATATGGCGTGGTGAAAGAAAAAAAAGCAAGTACTAAAGATTAACGACGCACAAATAATTTTGCCATGAAAGGCAACCATTAATATGGTTAATTTTGTAGTATTACAGTAATATTCAAATATGGCATCTAAAGAGCTAATTTTAGAATTTAACATCACTCGATATAAAATTACATAAAACGAAATAACGCTCTATAAACAGCTTTACTTAATAAAAACGCCAACAGCTGCATTCCACTCCAATGGAGTAACGCAGGCGGATCGAAGAAACAGCGGACAACTTGAGGGCACTGTCCTCACCGCTCGCTTCCCAATCGATTCACCGCTTCCTCACTTACTGGCTCATGCGTATAAGTACAAGTGCAGAAAAAAAGCATTCAATTCAAATTTCACTGAGGGTGTATATTTGTAGAGTATTTCACATCATTTTTATTTTAATATTAAAGTAAGCCTCGTCCTAATTTGTCAGCTCTCTAATTGAGATAATTGTGTCAGTATTTTTGGCAGGACTAATTTGCTTAAGGAAAAATATAAAATATACAAGCATCTCAAAATGTTCCCTAACTGATAACAATACTTCTACAATTTTTTTTTACTTTTTCCCGGTTTTCCATGTTGATTCGTCTGATACCTTATCTTGTCGCACAAAATGTACTTTTGTAAATATTACTTTATAATATAGCACTGAATGTGAATACCATACATTATATTTTAAAATCAAAATATTCAAATTTATCAATAAGGGTCGTAAAACGCCCTAAACGAGGATGTAAAATATTCTGTGCCATTTTACTTTCAAAATGTATTCTACAAACTTAACATTCATCGATTTTTAGAGTAATACTTAAAAAAATGTTGCAGGATTTCGCATTTATCAACGACTTTAATTACTATTACTCAAAGTAAATCAATCTATGGAAAAATGAGGGAAGCTGAAACATTGTTTAGGGAGAAGCAGCTCTTCAGGAAACCAAAATATTTAAATTATATTATTAAAGTTGGTTAACAAGAGTTCACCCCGCAAAACCATTAACCCATGTCCACCGGAGCGTTGGAGGTTGCCTTGAAAAGCGACGTGACGAGATTGCTTTTTCGCTTACCACGCACGTTCTCTCTCGCAGCCTTGTTTTGTGGATAGCAGTTTTAAAGCCCAGATTTTTCATTCCTTTTCTTACAGAAACCAGGTTATTGTACCAGGTATTGTTATCAGCAAGAATGTGAATAAGGGGAATGCAGTGGAGTAAGGGATATGA